TGCCATTGTAGCTTTGGCTTTGGCCTACGCTTCTGACAGAGGTAGAGCCTGGCAGGTGTACCATCCCAAAGGCAGCAGGCACGGAGCCCGTGGCTGGACCCTCCACACCTTCCCGATGGACCAGAGCATTGTAAGGCAACTGTGACAAATCCAGGCATGAGACAAACACCAGAAGCGTTGGTTAAGCCAGGAGAGAGACTGTGAATTTGTACACTGGATTCCCTTCCACCCCAATAACCTCAGCCCCTGCCTCCCTCCCTCACTTGTTGTCTTGGCTTGTGCTTTCTTCTTTCCCCCTCGAGGATCTGAGACGCTGCCAGGATTCACATACCACTGAAGCCCACTCTCAGTGCCCTCTGAGGACTACACATAGCATCCTCCCATAGTCCCACTCAGCAGGCAGCTGTGACAGCAGAAGGGCAGGGTACTGTAGAACCAGGCTTGAACACGTAGGTGATCGGGGGAGGGAGAGATAATGTCTAGGGGAAAGAGCATTGTATAGACTGAGGGACTGAACTGTGGACTAAGTATAAATCAAAATAAATTAGCAGGCAGCAGTTCCTGTCATTTCTGTTGGAAGCAGCCCACTCCCCCACTTATCCTCCCTCCCCCAACTCTTAGTCAGAGCTACTTACAGCCAGGCAGGATGGGGCTTTCCCGAAAGCAATAGGCCATTTGTCCAGTGGTATACAATGTTGGCTGCCGCCTTTTGTGCTTTTAGCGTAGGCTGGAATTGGGGAGACTGCCCAGGGACTTGGCTTTGTGGGACTTTGTGGGACTTGTACAGCTTCTTTTTGATGACATTATCTGGACTCAATATCTAGCACAGAGAATGTGTTCAACAAATATTTGTTGAATGAATAAATTATGACTGCAGACTGGCTCTCCTGCCTTAAACTAATTTTATCCCAGCCTAGTCTCCTGATACTTATGCTCTTTATGCTATGCCATGTTGCTTCAGTCAAATGAGAAACATTTCTCGAGGGCTTATTGTTTGCCTATCATTGTGCAATATGCTGTGGGACATAGGATGTAGTTCCAGTCTTCAAAGAGTTGAAAGAGTTGAGAAATACTCATATAAGATGATTACCAATTTAATTTATATGATACTTTAAATTTTTCAAAGCACTTTCATGTATTTTTCATGTGATTGGTGAAAGAGACAATATTGTACAAATTAAAATATATACAGATGCAATAATGTTAATAGTTAGCATTTATTAAATGCACTATCCTCAGATCTTTACATGTATAATCTCATTTCTTTCATGCAATTATCCTATGAGATATCATTCCCATTTGATGAATAAGAAAAATGAAAACCATAAAGATTAACTGTCCCAAGACTGAATGGCTTTAAGTGGAATAGCTAGCATTTGAACCAGGTCTGTCTGACTCCAGAGCTCTAGCTATTAACTACTCTATGGTTAGTTGCTGCTCTACAAAGTATTACATAGAGCAGTTACAACCATTCAAGAGCAGGAAAGTGCGTTTTAAGTTGTAAAGCTTTGACTATGCCAATGGTGGTACATGAGCTGCCTCTTGTATTTAAAATGCCCAAGGCAAAGAAATGTCTCTAACACTAGACTCCTTAGTGGCCAGGGCAGTGACAAGCCAAGAAAAAGACAACTGAGACCCAACAGTTATTTCTGTGTATTGTTCATTTTCCTTGCTGGTGGGGCCAGCACACATCCAAACAACCCACCTAGCGTTCCTCACCCCATTCCCAGCATTGGGCAAGAGTCGCAATTATAGGTAGAGATGAAAAGGAAATACATTAATTATGGGTTATTTGTTTAATCAGAGGCTCCACCACTGCAGGATCCAATTACTGCTGACAGACTCAGAAGCCAGAAGCACAGGTTATATTCACATAGGCCCTCAAAGGCTTCCAATAGGGTCTATAAGAAGGTGCTAGAAATATCCAAGAGCCCACAGTTGCTTTCCTATGGCTCATCCTCTGGAGAAAAAAAGGAAAAAGCTGTTATAGCTGCCACATTCTCCCCCATCCCTACCATATCCTTCTCTCTGCCCTCTTCCTCCAAAATGGTTTCACATTACACCAATTCAAAACCACCCGCAGCATACATAGCATAGGCAAACACGCAAAACTCCCTTGTTTCCAAGCCCAGAAAGCCTGTGGGTCAGCAAACTGCTTGTTAGGATCTGAAGGATAAGATGAGGTCAGAAGTGGCCTGAAGAACCAGTTCAAACTGGCAGGGTCTTCCTTTGGTCTTGCGTTCAAGAAAGACCCAGAGTAACTCTTCCCAACATGGAGCAGGAGAGATGACTTGCCTCAAAGAGCGAGTTGTGGCAGGGCTGGACGTATGGGGAGAAGATTGCTGCCATCCTTCCAAAAAGAAGTGTCGAAAACCAGAACTAGGTGAAGACTACCTCGTGGGAGGTCATGGTACAAGTGTACAGGCTGTCTGCTTGTCTGGCGACCTAGACACACATGCTTATTGGAACTCCGTTCACTGTGACCCAAAGTTAAATGATCCCAAAGGAAAAAACTGCCTGAGGGTATTGGTTGATGTTTGGGGTGAGAGGTGAATTTTCTGTTCATTTGACCAACAGAGACTTCAGAGAGCTGTTAAGCAAAATCAGATCTGTTCACCTTACCAAACCTTTAGCTTCCTTCTCCTCTCCCCTCCCCCAAACAGGGACCATCATTTAACTATACACTTTGTTTGTAGATGTCACTGCTGAACGCTACCTGGGGTACTAAACCTGGATCTGACCTGCTTTGTCATCTCCTGCTTGGACTTTTGTGAAGACTCTTCAGAGAAAAAAAAAAAATTATACTTTGCTTGTAATTATTATGAAAGCCTCACACGTGTAATTGTAGAATTTTAGGGGGGAAAAAAAAACTCCAACCCATTATCCTACCACCTAAGACAAACATTGTAATCTTTTTGGATGTATGTTTTGGTTCTTTTTGGTATAAATGTACACATGCAACACGCTGTTTTTTTTTTAACAGAAACTGGATCACACTTTATATATATATATACTCTTTAATAACTTACTTTTCAAAATGTGTATTTATATTTGAGAATAAGTAATACATATACACGAACACAAATTCAAAAAGTACAAAAAGCTCTGTATGAAGAGGTAAATCTTCACCCTGTCTTCCAGCCTCGTTCCCCTCCCATCACTTGTATACCCTTCCAGAGCCATTGAAGCATTTTCAAACACACGCATATATACTCTTCTGGCACACACAAATGGCAGCATATGAACACATGTTTTTGCACCTTGTGCTCCATCACTTACTATATCACGAAGGTAACAATTTTTGCGTGACTCTTATACTTTTGTTCCACAGCAGTCTCATTATATGGATGGACCCTTATTTGGTGACCAGTCTCCTAATCGTGACTATTTCATTTCCTTCCCATCTTTACTGTAAATAATGTTGCAACAGACATTCTTGTAGCTAAATTTTGCACATATCTGTGACTATCTCCTTAGGATAAAAATGCAAGGAGGAAATTGTTTGGCTATCTTTAAGGATTTTGATATATGTTGCCAACTGCCCTCCAGAAAGTTTGTACCAAAACACTCTCCTATTTGCAGCCTTGAGAGTGCCCTGTTCCGTGCACCCTCACTAATGGTGGATATTATCACTTATCAAATCGTCATCAATTTGATAGGAAAATAATAAGATATTAATGTTATTTGAACTCACACTTCTTTACTGAGTAACATCTTCATAGGCTAATTGACCATTTGTACTTCTTTCTTTGTGAATTTTCTATTTATTTGATATTGGTATGTTTACCCTTATTATCAATATGTAATTTTATTAAGAATATTGTTTTGTCAAGAAACATTGCAAATATGCTTTCCAAGTGCTTTGCTTTCTAATTTTGTTTATGGTGCTTTTTGACATACATAAATTCTTAATTCTGCAATTAATTTGTTCCTCTGTTTCCAGCTTCTTCTGCCTATAGTTCACCCTCTCGTTTCTATCAGAGTGGCCCATCTAAAACACAACTGATTACGTCACTCCTAGCTTGAAAATCTGTAGTGACTCCTCATCACTTTAGAAGCCAAACTTCTTAGTGTAACACACAAGGTCTTTCATGCGATTTCTTCCACTGACTCTTCCAGGCTCACCTGCTGGTGTTCTCAAGGTACCCTACACTGAATTGCTGCACAGCTCCTTGTGATTCCTTGAACCCATCGTTCTGGGTCTCTGGGCTTTTTCATGCTGTTCCCACTGCCTAGCTGACCATGCCTTACCCTTCCAACCTCCTCTTTGCCTTGCTAACTCCTTAAGGACTTTGAGTATCACTACTCGAAAGCCTTCCTTGACCCCTTGGTCTGCACTCCTAAAGCAACATGAGCCTATCTCTGGCTAGCATTTGCTACACTGAATTGGAATTTCCTCTTTATGTTTGTTTCCCCCACGGCCTGGATGTTCAAGGTAGACACTGTGGTTTATTCATCCTATAGCTAGAATTTCTAGCACAATGCCTGCACATAATAAGTGCTCAATAAATATTGAGCATTGAGCCTGCAATGAATGAATAATGGATTCAGTGGCAAATGTTACTTTAGGTAAATGCGGGGCTGAACTGGATATGTGCTTCTGAGAATTGAAGAAATCCTAGGAGATGCGTTATCAGTAAAGCCATGTGCTTCACTGCTGTGCTTTCCAAAACATCAGAAGTAGCTTTTTAAAAACACATAATCACGGATTCTGCTTTACACCCGCTGAATCAGACTCATGGGCATAATGCTCAAGATACTACAGTTTTTTTAATGTTCCAAAGTATTTCTGATGACCAGCCAAGTTAAAAAATGTACTGCTGAGGTATATGAGCAGACAAATCAGAGCCCCAGCAAATAGATAGATGGAGCTTTGTTTGAATGCCAGCTTTGACAACTACTAGCTGTGTGACTTTAGGTCAGTTGCTTGACTTTTCGAACC